CCAGTGAATATGAAACCCATTTTTATTAAAAAGTATGGAAAAATATACCAATTTGATTGACCATGGAAAAGTAAAGATTCCTTCTGACCACACTTGCCAATGGTTATTTCATCCTTTTCAATGGTTTTTTTTTTTATGCTTATTTCTGAGTTACATTTTTTCAATAGGGAGAAAAGCATGCTCATATTTTTGCAAATATTACACATGTAGATCAAAGAACCAGCTTTAAAGGTTTTTAACTTTCCTTTTGTGCCAAGGTTTCCTCTAAATCACAAAAATATTTAAGGTTTCCTCTAAACACCAGAGATGAATGAGAATTGTAACATACTATGCTATGCCATTCCATTATGCACAAATACGTTTTTGGAAGATACCACTCCTCTGGTTTACAACTCAAATTCTTGAAGCCCTATCTATATAAAAGATATTACAGCCAACACTAAATAAGATTAATTATGAGTATAGCAACAATGTTTTAAAATACTTAAATTTTTTTGTAATTTTTACAGATATAAATTAGGTTACTTCCCTTGATAACTTTTTTTTTTTTTTTTTTTTTGAATCAACAGAACACGTTTCATGTGCATTTACAAAAAAAAATTCACAACTATCTATTACATTCATTTTCGTTTTATCAATTCAGATAATCTTGGATAAGATTGAAACTACTTAGAGAAAATAAAAGGAACGAGAAATTATAGCACCTTCCTTAATGTGTTTAATGACAATATTAATAAATTCGTCAGTGAATTTGAAAGGATTTAAAATAAAAAGACTGTGTACAAAAAATGTGTGGGTGCACACAATAAGTGTATGATTTAACCTAAATAGAAAATTTCCTCTTATGTTAAAATTATAGATACAAATCTTGCTTATTGACAGCATGTCAAATTTATCTGCAAAGAAAATATCTTGCAAAATTGTTTTTAGTTCATTTTACATAGAATAGTGACTAAAAACGTTGAGTTCAGAGAATACATGCATTTTTTTTTTTTTATGACATTTCAGTTAAAATCTTAAAAAAAAAAAAAAAAAAAAAAAATCAAAAAAAAATCTAAATAGTATCAAGAATAATCATTAGTATTCCCAATTTTTTTTTTTCAGTTAATTGAACTCTTGTGTTCATGATTTTTGGACTGGCATATTCTTTATCTTTCTTCAGGTGTATAATCTGTAAGAAAAACGTCTTTATTTCTTATATGTTTGTTTGAAGAAGTCTGAAGAATGGTACAGCTGAAAAATGACAATATCAGAAGTGCAAAGTTCAGTTATCCAAACTAAATTGGGAATGTTAATGGTTCTTCTCACAATTATTAACAAAATCTGATTTTTTAAAATCTTTTTTATTTCACCCTTTTTCTAATTAACAATGCCACATTATACAAAATGGTTTTGATGTAAAAAATTGCTGGACTGTAAAGAAAAAAAAAAAAGTATATGAACAATGATAACAACATGCTTCCCCTCATTCATTACACCAAAATAAATTTCCTTTCATAAAAAATTGCAACCAATACTTGGAACAATTCTTATTATAAACTAACATTTTGAACCCAGTTTAGGAAGAAATAAAAGAAAATATTGGACGGGTAAATATAAACAGATCTCCTTTAAATTTGATGAAGAAAGAGAAAAATACCAAACATGGATTTTTGTGACAAAGTAGACAATTCCCAAGGAATATTCCTTTATGTACACAGGAGGAAAAATGTTCAGTATTTAAAACTAAAAAGATAATTGGTCCATTTCAACAAAATCTAAATCAGAATGAATATTAGCCTCAAAATTTAGTACAAGACCAAATATGAGTAGAAAGAATGTGAGAACAATCTTCCAATTGGGAGAAGCTTGCCTGCCTAGAAAATGAGCAAATAACCATTTGATTAGTTTGAAAATTAGATTTATCATTCAACTGATTCAGGAAAGCAATAAGAAAAAATTGCAATCACCATTAACTTTTTTTTTTCTTTAATATTTTATTTAAAATAAACTTTGTTTGATCAGGGTAATATTTCTAACAATAAGTTAGAATTAAAATGAATTCAAGGAAATAACAGTAAATTGTAGTTCAACAACTGGAGCTTTTTCTTTTTTCATTATTATTATTATATATTGGCAGCATAAAATATCATTCAGCAGTAATACCACCCATATAAAAATAGTTTTATTATATTCCATTTGTAACCAGTATTAAAAAGGTTTTAAGAGGAGTCTTAAGAAATTTATCAGGTGATCCCTGAAAATTAAATGAGACAAATTTCAATTAATGAAAAAAATTTTCCCCAAATTTATGTCTATTAAATGTGAACAAATTCAAGAAAATTTGCAATACAGCACCTCAGACAAATTATTTGTAGTCAAACATTTATGGTATCACAGTAAGAATAGACCTTGACTTGATTTCCACTGAAAAATATTGTGCATTTTGGTTTACATTCAATATATAATTTAAACAAAAATAGTGTGGCCAAAAAACTGAACTGATGATCTCATTAAAAATTAAATCTTTGTTAAAAACGTTTATTTATATAAGTAAAACAATAGATGGTATTTGTCAAATTTAAGAATACCTTCAGAAAGCTTATATTTCGCTTAATCTAGATAATTTATTCTAATTGGTGTACTACAACTTATTTAAAGGCAAGAAAATATGTTTTAATTATACAATGTGAAATAATGGATCATAAAAATAATAGTTCCATGTATAAATTAATTTAAAAGAAGACATTTTGCTTTTTAACTTTTTTTTTTTTTTAAGTAGTTTATAAAACATTACAATTATGATATACCAAGTTAAAAACCATTTAAAATACCGGATTATAAGAAATTTATTTAGAAGTTAAGCTACAAACAAATTTCTTTATTTACACTATATTGAAACTATTGTGTTATCCTTCTTGTTATCACACTGTTTCAGCCGTTGTGCCCTCTGGCCTTCATCAGGTGTATATCAATCTGGGTAACCTACAGGGAATTCTGAACTGAACCCTTTATTTAATCTATAGGGAGTAGACTGTTCTCATTCCACTGTTCATGTCTAGGGACATCTAGTTCTTATTTTATTTAGTACTGTTCAGTTATTGCTTGCTTGTTTATTTATCCTAACTGATGATAGAATTTAAGTCTAAATATATTCAAGAGATGAAGAAGGCAGTAAAATGTGTCATGGTTAAAAGGAAATCTTAACATTATTTGAGTATTTGACTTAAGAGACAAGAAAAAAAAGTAAATGAAAAATTGCTGATTGTTGCTAGATTCAAATTCATGCCTTTTTCAAATATTACCAAAAATTCACACACATCTTAATAGTTAAAAATAGACAAACATCATAATTGGAAAACAGGAATTTTTTAGGATATCTAATGGGAAAAAGAAAAAATTTTCTGTTAATCAACGTTATGCTTTTTCAGCTTATGTTGGGGGGATTAAAAAGGAACTCATTTCCATTATTGAATGATGTTTGGTTCAGAGTTCTGCAAGTAATCAAAGACACTTGCTCCAATTTTTTTATCTTATATCTTTGAATATCAAAGGACTGTTTGACAGATTTGTCCACAAACTTTTTTTTTTTTTAAGAGTAGTTTCATTTAAATAGACATCAGTCAGTATTTACTGGATACAATAGAAATGTCTTAGCTAGTCTTAATAATTCTTGGAATAATGATTATTATATTTCATAACTTCAAAAGTTTTTCTGTCAACAAGATAGAGCAATGTTATCAGTAAACAGCTAAAAGAAAATTGAATTTGAATAAATAACATTCAGTTTATATCTTATGAAAATTGCATTTTGTATAGCTATCTTTAAATTTCAAACAAAAGTTAAAAATAATAAATTGCTGATGAAAATGGTCACATAGTTTATAATCTGCAGGAGAACTGCCAGGTTTTATATGGCTGTTATAACAGCAAAAATGCTAAAGATTTACTATATTTTTATTCATTTGAGAAATTTTTGCATCAGAATCAAAAGCCAAATGGTAGCATGAATTTATATTACAAGCATGAATGTTTTGGCAATTTTTGCTTATTTGCATCAACGAAATAACTACTAACTGATTTATTCAGCCATTTTTTTTGTTATTGAAACTTTAATATTCACTCAAATTGACAAAGCCTATGGTTTATACTGATTTCTGAAAATGATATGATGTATTGTGAAAGCTGATCATTTCACACCTTCATAGTATAGTGAAGTCACAGCATATATTTAAAAAAAGAATATATGAATATATTTTACATAAGGAGAGTAAATTGACCAGATGTATTAAAAAACACGATTCATTTATATAATAAATCATTAAAATAAAAAGGATATATAAAAAAATTGATATTAATTGTAGCTAATAAAATTTTATTCACTAACCCTGATTGCAGCTGGACATTGCAAAAGTTGGATTTGTGAATTTATAGCTACATTGGAATTCTGATTTTTGTATCAAGTAGATTCCCTATATCAAATCAATCAAAATTCACTATCAAATGTTGATCTGCCATTAAATATTGACAAAAAATATTTATTTAGCTTAATTTTTCATGTAGCATAATGCAGGTACAAGTAATCTATTTTTGTAACAGATCAGATATTTTCCTACCTCTTGAGGAAAGTTGCAAATAGTTCTGTTAATGCATTTGTTTATTTATAGCTTATGATTTATATTTTTCAATTCAGTAATTAAAAAAAAATTATTAAAAATGATTTAAATTGATTTTGATATGTATGAATGTAAACATTTTTGTATGGCTCAATACAATTGAAATATATAATTTCAGGTGTTAACAAGGGTGGAAAAACTGGTAATTGAGTTTGCTTACCCATGAACTACCAGCATTAAAATGTTTTTTTTTTCTTAAAAAAAAAAAAACCCAAAAAACCTGCATTCAAAAATTATAATGGTAAATTATATACAATGATAATTTTACAGAGAAGTTTCTTTAATTTTGAGAGTTTTCACTCAAAATGTGGGCATTAAATTATAAAGAAAATTAATAGATTAAAATTAGCTTAATATGGTAGTAATATTTCCATGTTGAGATGAATGTGAAGAGTCATTTGCTGTGAGTCGATTAAAAGCATCCAAATTGCCAATCACTGCCCTGAAATATAGCAAAAGGAAAATAAGTTAAACAATTAAAAAAAACCATTGCACTAAAATTTTATAGCAAATTATTATATTTTAACCATTTTGGAGTTATTGATACAATAAATTTATTTGTCCTGGGTCTTCTTATGCTGGCAGTGATTTTAGATGATGATAAAAGGTAAGTGAAAGCAATGATGCCCTCCAGAAGCTGAATTTTATTGATATAACATCACACAAAAATATCCTGATCCCATGTGATTATCAAAATGCTCGAGTCTACCTTAAAATATATATATATATATATATATGATCAGATTTTAAGAAACTGAGTGGGTTGGGCTGAGAACTTTTTTCACACTATTAGTGGGTACTGAAAAAATTCTCAGCCTGACCCACTCCATTTCCTAAAATCTGATCAAACATCAGAAAATTTTTTGAGGTTGGGTGGGGGGTTCCATTCTCGAATTTTGATTGATTTGTTTTTACAGCTTATCAAACTTTTGCAGGCTTTACATAAAGCTAGAAAAAAGTTTTTAGATTGTAGGAATTTTTGGGAAATAATTTACTGATACAAGTTCACACTAATTAATCCATAGCTAGTGGAAAGAGGTGGATTCATACCTTTTTGAAGGGTATTAGTGCATAATATAATGAACCCGATTGGGACTGTTCTTCAATTTCCAATTCTGAGCAGTTGTCCATTACACCATCTGCACACCAAAGTTACAGCACCTGGTATTCCCAAGTGGTCACCCATCTAGCTACTGACCAAGCTGAACATTGCTTAACTTTAGGTAATTGTATGAGAACTGGTGTTTCAACATAATATGACTGTAAGCCCCCCGCCTTATTGGTCAAGCTTGTATGCACATACAGTGCCAGGTATTTAAGAAGACATTTTTAATAAAATGGAAGACAATGTAAGGATTTCATTCCTCTTTTGGATATATTTGTAGTATTAAGATAAAGGAAATGAAAAAAGTATATAGTGTTCATGGCACTAGCTGTCAATCATATTCAAGCTTAAGAAAACAGCAGTCAAGCTGTTGAGGGTGTGGTAGAGTCTTATCATATGGACCTAATGTCCTTGTGTTCAACACAAGAAAGAGTTTATGTCAGACAAAACACCAGAGAACCATGTAATTCACTCAAAGCACCAAACTCAAGCATGATAATGAGAACTTCAACCAGGACCACAAGATACACAGGAGGAATGACAAGAACTCTGCATGGACCCCCACACAAGTACTTACGGTGATGCATACTAAATTTATGTTAACTGTGTTGAACAGCAAGACTATCACAGGTAAAGTAAGCAATAAGGGCATAAAATCCTAACAGGGCTTCAGTGTTAGTGGCACCAGATGTTGAACACTGGTCAAGTTCTGGAGTGTCTGTATGTGTTTCAACAGGACAATGCTCCTTTTCACATAGCCCATGTGACACAATAGTAACTGGCACACCCAACATGTAGACTCTTAGATCTCCCAATTAGAATCCATTGGACTACTATGTCTGGGGTGTTATCAAGAGAAAAACATGAAAGAAAACCCCTGATCCAGGTATACAGTCACTTCTAAGGCGAAGGGCAGCTTGTTGAACATGGCTAAAACACATTTTAAAAATAATATTTCTTTAATTTTTTTCACAATTACCTCACACACCTGGTATGTGTTATATGTGTACAAAACTAACATTTTTATCAAACCAGTTTTAGAATTTAAAAAAAAAAAAAAATTCTTCAACATATAGTTTGTAAAAAAATCATCTGACTAGCTATGTTCATAAAATTATTTTTTGACAAAGTAAATATAACCATTACACACTGTTAATCATTGAGATGTTTTGTTTTTCTAAAATGAAATGAGCTTCATTGGTAGGATTTTTTTTTAACCTAAAAGAAAAAGAACAAAAACAAGAAAAAAAACGCAAGTTTAAAAAAATAGTAACAACATTATAAGTGCTGGAAAATATATATTTTTTTTTTTTTTTTTTTTTTTTTTAAGAGTATGTAAATATATAAAATTTAAGTATGCCTTGACTTTTCTAATTTATTAAAGTAAACAGTAGTAAAAGTAATACAGCTATTCTTAGGTCTCACTGGAGAATATGCCTAAAACATTTTAAGGCTTTTGTGGAGGTTTTCTTATAATTAGTTAAATATTTACTCACTTCATACAGGAATGTAAAATTGTGAATGCAGTGTAAAGTAATAAATTTCAATGCAATCACTTACCCAATAATACCAACTAATATCAAAAAAATGTCAAATGCTCTGAGTGAAAATGTACTTGAGCTGAAAAAAAAAAAAAAAAAAAATTTGATAAAAAGACAATTTCAGCATAATTCATCATAAATTAAAACTCAGAATCATTTTATTTTATTTTTTTAACCTAAGAATGGATAAAAGTTTACTGGAATAATTAGAGATTCATTTGGATTTGATTTTTTTTTTTTTTTTTTTTTTTTTTTTTTACTGTGTAAATTGAGATATGAATACAAAGTTGAACAGGTATTTTTGAAAATTAATATTTAAGTAAAAAAAAAAAATTCATTAAAAAAAAAAAAAAACAACTTTTTAAATGTGGACACATTTTAAACATAAATCAAGGTGGAATAAGGTACATTAAAACATGGTTTTATTTAAACCAAATTAAGTTTGACTGTAGATATTTAATGTATAAAGAATAAAGATATTTTATATGTGGGGATGTTAAGATCTGCATGGAGAGAGAAAGGAAGAAACAGGTTATACCTTATAAAGAAATTAAGTAAAAAAAGAAAAACAAACCCTTTAAAGATGATAATGTGAAAAAGACCAGGTAAAATGAAGGCAAGTAATGTACAACATGAGGCACCAATTAAAGCCATCAAATTGGCAAAGTTAGGAATGGCAATAACAATCACACCCGTGGACAGCACAACAATAAACCTTAAAACGTTCTGGAAAAAAATTGGAAAATGTCAAACATAGAAAACTGGTTAATATATACAGAAGAAAAAATTAAATGTATAAATACCAATTTAACATTTTAAATATTTTGAAATCCTTTCAAGCCAAAATTTTTTTTTTTTTTTTAACATTTCACTTTTACATGCAAGAAAAAGTTTTATTACAGGGTAGCTTGATAATTGATCATCTTTTGATTAATATTGTTAGGGGGCCCCACTTAAAATGATGACTTAAATCTGTAGCTACTAGATGCCCTTCTTACCTTACAAAAAGCCCTCATTCACCAAACCCTTTAGATTTCATAATAATAGAATGGAACTTTTTAGAAGTCTCTAGAAAGTTCTACTGGGTTCTAGAGGATACAAAAAAACATATATAAACAGGAGTTAATACCAACTAGCCAATTGCCTCCTGAACCACAGCCATGACTACTGAGGTTGACGCCGGTCATTTTGATTCATGAACAAAGCTTCAACTGAAAGAATAAGTTCTGACAATCCTTGAAAAGAAAAGTCTATCAGTAAATACTTCACCTTCCTTGATATTATTGACCAAACTCCTTTATTTTATATACATCTGAATATCTAACTATTTTTCTAAGAAAATAATAGGATTCTTTGACTAGCAATGAATTTCCATCTGTCGCCTTAATCTTAACTTTATTGGATTTTCTCTTCCACTCCCTCATATAGCTACACATTAAGCCAACTACTTTTTGGGCTCTCACACTTCTTATTAACTGTTAGCATTTCCCAACATATTGTTTAAACCTCAGCCATACTGTTTATAAAAAAATATTGTATTATATGTTAAATAAAACCCACTTTTCATTATTAGATGTAATCTTTTTTTTCTTCTACTTCTAAGAATCTGTTTCATCTTATTTTGTGTTTATGCCAGCCATAACAATATGCTGCATGACTTTTTTTTGTTCACTAAGTAGAGGGTTGTTGAAAAGTTGACTTGAGACTTGAAGAGGTTAAGATTATAGTGATCAAAGATGTATCCTCTCAGAGTTTGTTCCATAAATTAGCAGTTCTTAAGAATTTGTCTGAATGGAACTTCTTTCTTACTAATGGAATACAAATGGAATGAGGATGAATCAACCGCGTGTAGCATGGCAGGTCCTAGTTGTATATTTGAACTGATCAAATTAAAGATTGTAGTTCATCTGAATTGTTATGGAAATAGCAATATGCTTGTGATGTTTTGTCCATGGAGGAAAGGGGTTGTAGAGTGGAAAATAATTCATTACTCACATAAGCACTTTTGAACTCAAAGCTGAAAAGTGAGGATTGAGCAGCTGCAGCCCAGATATAGCAACAATACTCCATTTTTGGTATGATTTGACTCTTATAGAGCATATCATGAGTAGTCAGATATTTTCTGGAGCAGTACAAGAAACAAACCATTTTCCAGTCTCATTAGGGATGGATAAGATATGTGGGTTTCACTTGACATGCAGTGATATTACTATTATAATATCTAAGTTGCTTTCTTTGTGAAAAATAATTTTAGTGAATATAATGACATTTTGATTACTACAATAAATGTTACACAAAAAATAAAACATTACAACTTTACTCCTCCCACCAAAAAAACAAAAAAAAAAAAAACAAAAAAAAAACAAACTATAAATAAAACTTACTCCTTTCCAAAATGTTTTCTCTGGTTCCTGCATGAAATATCCTTCTAAAACTTTGATAGCTGGAAAGAGCATGACTATAGTAAAATAAAAGAATTATTTTTGTTATTTTATATTTGGCTATGACACAGATACATAAAATTATTTTTTTGAAATAGTTATGTTTAAATAATTAACTGATAAGTTAATGAATTAAAAAAAAAAAAATGTATATATGTTAAGTGACCAACATTATTACATGGTAGAAAGGTTTTGTTGTGAATTGATCAAGACTTTAGATGTATGGATCAAATCCAATGTTAAGGATTTGCTTGTTTTACAATTTCACATGAAAATTATAAATATAAAATGCTTACATTTTAAATGAGAAAAAAAGAATTACCTGGATATGTGAAAAACATAGCTAAACACAGGAATGATTTAACCATTATTGCAAAATCTAAAGCTTTTCCTACAAAAAATAGAATAGAAAAAAAATAAATGAAAATAATACTCATTCTATAATTTCTAGTAAATAGAAAAGTTCTTGCCATCATTTGGATAGCATTTTTGTTTAATTGAATATAATAAAGTGATAAAAAATTCAATTATGCAATATAACTAATTTTGCATTTTTTCACTAGAATTTCAATCTATGAGAAATTGTAATAATAATAATAATATTCATTGTTAACACTGGGTCAAATACATAACAGTATTAAAATAAAAGGCCACAATATTTTCCTTAGTTACTGCTATAAAGGAAAGATTATAAAATAGTTTAAAAAAGTATTAATTTTATGAAGAATTTTTTTTTTAGGTCTATAGCTTTCTTAAGTTTGTAGTCTCAAATTTCCTTTAGTTTGGGATTACATTCTTGAGTGTCAAGGTCTTGCATTCAAGTAATTCTCAAAGAATGCAATAAAAAATAGATATAAAAAATATGTAAGTTACATTGTTTCAATAACCTTTTTTTAAGCATAAGAAAATTACCAAAAAGGCACACAAACTATATGAATAAAAAAGAAAAAAAAATTATCATCTGATGTTAGAATGTAGTTTCAATATTTTTTGTAATTTATGTCCAATGAATTTTGAACTTGTTATTTAGCATCTGTTATTCAAAATTGTTACAACTACTTTCAGAAGTATCAATTTTCTTTCATACTGCCAAAGGGAATAATATATCATTTTGTTTCTTACAAGTCAACAAGAAACACAATGTGTTATTTATTCTTGACATTTACACTCATCTAAAAAACACTAACAGATCATTTTAAAGTTCAGTAAGTCAGCTGCAAAGACAAAAGCAATTTTTGTGATGTACTAATGTCGAGAGGGACAGACACACACACACTATTTATATATTATATATGCGCGGTACTTATTGGAAAGCTGACGATTGCAAATAGCATGAAACCCAGGGTCATAAACTTACACCAATCCAACTAAAGATATATATATTACACACACATTACAGTTAAATAGATATAACATATTAGTGCTTAAATTAAAAATTTAATTTTAACTTGAAAGTTTCCTATATAAATAATAGTATAACAATCAAAAATTTTTTACATAAAATTAATATAATTTTTTTTTTTTTATTAATCTTATATAAAGTTGAATTAAAATGTTGTATTTTTACATGGTTACATTGATATATTTGTAATGAAAGTTTAGAAGTACAAGAACTGAAATAGGCTGAACAATTTTTGGATTTTGAGAGAGAGAGTGTGTGTGTGTGTGTGTGTGCGCGCATAGCTGGCTACTTTTTTTTTTTTCAAGCTCATCTATCTTCTGGGGGGCCACTAGCCAATCCCTGTTGCAGACACCAGCTCAGGCAAGGGTGTTCAACATTCAGAGAGCTCACCTGTGGTTTATACTGCAACTATGCTGAGTGGACCATAGTTACAGTTTCTGCAAGAGAACACAATCTGTCATTTTGAACAATGCCAGTATGCTCAGACCCTTGATCATGATGACTTGCTAGCACACCCATTGACAGCTTTCAAACAGTTCTGTCTACCCTTTTTCAGGCACTTTCCAAATGTTCTGCACATTGGGATAGTCCCCTCCTCCCCAAACTGATAACCTCAAGAAGTCACCTTCCTGACAAATTTATCATGGTGAGATTTGGACCCAGATGTCATGCTCAGAAAGCGAACATTTTAACCAATAGTGAATGCACTGAGTATGGGCATGATTTGAACTCTGCATGCCAATCCCACCATGTGTGTGTGTGTGTGTATATATATATATATATATATATATATATATATATATATATATGTGCACACGGCCAAGGTCATTGCCTTCCCTACAGCAAATACTCAAGGTAAAATATGAATGCATTTCTTCTCTCCACCAATTATAGGTTAAATAGACAGGACTTTCTATAGTCTAGCTTGTCTCCCAGTGTAGAAGAAGAAAAACGCGGACTTCAAACCCGAGATCACTGTTTGGAGTCACAGTGCAACATTTCTCTATTATCAGTCCTTCCAAAAAGCATGGCCTTCACCACTATAATCAAATCACATAGGTAGCCTGGCAGTTCAATTCTAAAACTGAACTGTTATTCCCTGATAATTTGAAATTGACGGGAGAGTCAATCACTATATATTATATACAGAAGTAAGATAGTGCATGTACCAACTTAAATGTGAAGTAATGATTATTTTCAGTTTGAAACCTTTATAAAAAAAAAAAAAAAAAAAAAAAAAAAAAAAAAAAAACTTTGTTTATAGGTGTGCCCATTTGTTACTGTATTACAGAAAAAAATGACAGTTTTGTCAGAATATTTTAACAGTAGTGTCCTAACTTGAAAATAAATCAATTTCCTGTCCAATTTGCAATTTACTTAGTGTATGTGTGTGCATTGTTCATGCTTATCCTGATGATAATGACCCAATTGCCCAATTGTTTTTGTTTATTATAAAAATAAAATCATATCAACATTGATTTTTTTTTTTTTCAAACAATTACTAATTTATAAAAGTTACAGATTAATGGAACGGTCATTAAGAAAAATAAATTATTTTTATTTAATGCAAAAATTAACATGAAAAAAATATGCTCCCTCCCTCACCTCAATAGTATATACATTAGCATATAAAATAAATATAAACCTACCTTTAGGAAGATTCAGAGTAATTATTGGATTAGTTGCTGGTCCAAATGACTATTAAAAAAAAACAAAAAAAAAAAACATTAAAAATAAAATTTTTTCAAATATAAATATACAATTTTATGTGTCATAAATGAAATCAATGTATTTTGAGATTGTATTTTTTTAGTCTTAATTATGGAAAAAGATCTTTAATTTTTCAATATCACATATGTAAACATAATCTAGTCAAAAGAAATGATATTTACCAAATATCCACAAATTCCAAAAGTTATATAAAGTGCTGTTACTAACATCATTGTCCATATAAAAATCCTGAAAAATAAAACATTCACTCAGCAAAATGTATTAGGAAGAATTTATAGTAAAATGCCAAAATTACAAAGCAATAAATTTAAGCAGAGAGGTTATGATAATCAAATACAAAAGCAGTATTAAGAAAAAAAATAAACTCACTTTTTAAAGTGTTTACGCTTTTCTTTTACAACTGATGCTTCTAAGGATAAAATCATTCCAGCACCCTAATGGAGAAAGAAAATTTTATCTTGCATTTTTTTTTTTTTTTTTTAAAATCAACATGTATAGTCTATAACTTCATAATATTTGAATAGTTTTAATCAAAGAAAATTAACAAGTTATAGATATGTTAATATGCGTTTCTATTGTATACTTGTAAATAACTGCTTCACGCTAGACTACAATGTTAAGTGCAATTAGAAATTGCCCAGAAGTCATTTTTGATAACATCTTAAGTTCTTTGCAACATTTCAAATCTTCAATAGAAATAGGAGTCAGAGGCTTCTTTTTTTCTATTATGCACTAAGAATAAATAAAGAATTTATATCAATATAATTTCCTATTTAGCATTAGCAATAAGTTTGTAAAAACATCATTTGCTGAAAAAGATCAAAGCCACGATTCCAAGTTTACTAAACTTGAAGTTGTAGCTTTGCTCATTTTATGTAAATATTTTTTTTTTGCTAAATAAGAAAACAAAAAGTTAAAGGAAAGAAATAGAAATAAAATTGCTTTGTCATAAAATAATTATCCAAAACTTGTAGGGCTATTTTTTCAAATAGTTTTCTCATTTAATAGGCTGAGATATTTTAAGACCAAGCAAGCACCATTGAATTAGAATCAAAGAAGTAACCTCCAACAAAACTTTAAACCAGTCATGGGAAAAGCGTGGTCCACAGACCACATGTGAACTGTTTGGTGTTTCATAAAGAAAATAACATTTCTTAAAATTTTATTTTGTTTCACTTTCACTTGTTCACTCACACACTCTCATATACATAACCATATGCATAAACAATGATTAAGTTCAAGGTTTCTTGAATTTTGGGGAAAGTAACATTTTACACCACCAGTAATTTTCTTTATGAAAGATCAGATGTGTAAACATCTTTTGCTTTTGAAACTGGAAATATTCATAAGAATGTTTTTCTCTAAAGATGTTTTCATTTTTAAATGAAAAAAATTAGAAATAATTCACATGCAGTGACATGAGTTAATCATGTTGTCAGTGAAAATATACAAAGACTTCAATTTTTTTATCATTAAAAAATATATTTTCTAATGAATAAAAAAACTTTCCTACAATTTCTAAGGTATATGTTTACACAAACTATTTTCTGTAGTGAAAATAGCTGAGGTATCTACTATGAAAAATTATCTTATTTCTGTTTAGTTGGGTGGCCCACCTTGTGATTAGCCATAGATCATATGACCCACTGCTAAAGAAAGGTCACCCATGCCTGCTTTAAACCTTATCCTGGGTTATTTCTTATTCATATTGCTTTCTTTAATGAGCATAGAATGTATTGATTTGGTATGTTGTGATAAAACAATGATAAAAATAAAAGAAAAGTTTTATTTTTATTTAAAATTGTACTTCATATTGCAATTCTGAATGGCATTCATGAAGGCTTTTCAGTAAAAACAGAACAAAAATTATCAAGAAAGTTAGATTAAGGAGGCATCAATAAAAATAAAATAAAGTGCCTGAATTTTTACTAATTTACTGTAAAATCAGTATTGTGTTTCTAAATCATAAGTTGTACAAGAAATTTTTAAATTAATAAATATCTTTAATGCTGAACTGGTTCAGTGATTTGATTAACAAAATTTTTTTTGTTTTTTTTTTTGACAAATCATTTTTTTCACCTAGAATTTTATAAGTTCTTTAGCATAAAAAATATTTAAGCAGGATTTATCCTCCCATCAACATTTCCAACCTCTAATTGGTCTCATTTTACAAAAAAAATTATTTTTATGCAAATCATGTTCAAAAGTTCTGAGTGAGAATAATGGTTTAATTATATCAAAAGCAGTTGATAAATTAGTATTGTTAACATAGCTACATATAAGAGAAAAAATGCAATTAAACTTACAAAAAGACTATTAAATGCTTTGTTTTTTTCAAATAAAAAGATCAATAATCAAGAAATCCTTACCTCATAACAATAAATTGATATTGCCAGGAAAAAAGGCAGACCACTTAAGGAAATTTTCTTTGGATGAATCCTGAAGAGAAAAGTTATTAAAACTTAAATTGACATAAATATAATGTCTAAATGTTAGGAATATTTTGACAAGTTCAGTGGTTGAAACGTTAATTCCTACAGGAAGACCAAAGCTAGGAGTGATAACAGCAAAAAATTGATTGATTCAATTTCTATGGCTTATCAACCATTTGCAAGTTATTTAAAGCCAGAAAATAGTTTTTTATATTGTCAGAATTATTTTTCTTTGGAGATAATGGGTTTTAGTGATACAAGTCTTATTAATTAACCTATAGCTCGGGGGATAAGAGGTGGATTCATAGATTTCCCAACTGTATTTGCATGTAAGTGAATATAACAAACCCAACGGGTATTAGAACTCCGCTCTCCAATTAATAATTCCAAGCCATTATCCATTACACCACCCACACATCCAAGCTTACAGCACTTGGTATTCCCAAGCCATCACCCGTTTAGGTACTGACAAGGCTCAAAGTTACTTAACTTTGATGTTCAACGTGATGTGGCTGTAAGCCTACAACAAAGAGGACAAAAATAGTGCATGTAAATAATAACTTCATCCCAGAAATTCAGACAAATTAATTTGATTTTTTTTTTTTTTTTCAATATTCAAATTGTTTTACATTCTGAAACCATTTTTTAAGCAAGCAGCATAAATTGGAAAGAAGTAGCCTTTGATAAAGTGGTTATCCACGATATGCTATTTTGTATACGGGACTTGAACATCTATAGATACTGAGGGATGAAATGATTTGCCATTTACATAAAAGATGTGTGAAACAAATTTAAATATGCATAGAAGCAAAAAAAAAAAAAAAATCAAATGTTTTATTATACCAATTTTTAATATGATTAAAATTTTATAACCAACTTGTACATTAGAAAAAATATTAATAAATAAAGATTTAATTACAACAAAAATTTAGCCAAAGTGGTTTTGTGTCATAGATAAATGAAATTTTATCATTAGAGTATGGATTTATTGATATATATGATTGATTGATTTTGTTTAACAGCCCCTCAACCTCTTGTGGGTTATTTAGAGCCAAATAGATTGTGTTGTAAACATTTTATAAAGTTGGTCAAGTATGGATAAGAGTAAATTTTATAGTTCTTCAGATATGGTTGAAGGAAAAGTTCTCCCAAGTATGTTAAAGAAGAAATTTTATTGCACATCAGCTATGCTTGAAAACAAGTTTTATTGTTTGTCAAGAATGATTGAAAGTAAGTTTTTTGTGATCTGATTTACCATTATCTGATTTTTGTATAGGGATCACAATAGTTTGTTTTCAGCTACTCAAGAGTTTGTCCTTAAACCATATTTCATTAAAAAGATGTTTGACAGAAAAATTAAGGATTTTGTAGGGAGTTGTTTAAGAAATTCATAATGAATTTCATCAGGGCCAGTAGCTGTATTATGTGATTCGTTTATGGAATCTATAAGTTCATTTACAGTAAAAGGTTGGTTGTAATCATCTTTGTTGTTAGAGATAAACAGTAAAAGGTTGGTTGTAATCATCTTTGTTGTTAGAGATAAACAGTAAAAGGTTGGTTGTAATCATCTTTGTTGTTAGAGATAAAGTTGAGTTTATTTTTTTCTGAATCTTGCTTAACTTTTGAAATTGCTGTTTGTAGTTTTCACTGGAGGAATTTTGTTTAAAGGTTTCTGCAAGTAGATTTGCTATCCTTTTTGCTTGTTATTTTGAGAAAGGTGATTTAGAGCAAGGAATAGATTTTTGCAAGCAATTTTCCTTATATTCCAGACTTTTTGAATTGGTATAGGAGTTTATTTTATGTAATCTCTCCATGATCTTTAGCATAAATGGCCAAATTTCTGGCATTTGTAACATCCACGGGTGTTAGGGATGTATGGCTCTACCTTGGATATGGTGTATCCTATTTTTTTTATTTTTTATTTTGGTAGAGTAGGTTCCTTGAAAGTCAACATTTATGTTTTTGTGTTTATTGATGCCACTTCTTTTTATTTGTATTCTTTTGACATCTGTTACACCTTGTTTTTTTTAGGGTATCATTTTTAATTTCTTCCAATCAGTAGAGCGACAGTTCTGGACATTTTATAACTCCCTTAAAGGAGGGAAGGAATTGATGGGTGTAAGCCTTTACTTTCATGTTTGTTTATTTGATTGATTTTTAGTATGTTTTCTGAGTATTTTTTGTTTTTACTTTAATTAGAAATTTTTTTTTTTTTAACTGATTTTGTTTCTACCATGGCTGATATAACCTTTTGTAACACAAAAGGTGACACTTGCTATACTATGACTGTTTCCAGAACACCTTAGTTTTTATCTCAACCAACCTTTCCTTACCAGGTTTTAGCCAGCAGATGATTCTATAACCTGGATTTTAAAAACAATATTGACTCCATTTCATAGTCAGTTGTCAACTACAGCAATATGTTTTTTTTTGTAGGTGAAATCAGATGTTTCTGTCCTTCACCTCTGCCTTTATCCAAGGAAAAAAAAACCCTCTGCATTTACTAAAATCTGTTCTTGACTGATCTATCTTTCAACCCTTAAAGGTGCCACATCTCTCTTGGTATAGCTATCAAGCTATCCTTTCAACCATTAAAGTGTCATATTAATCCCATTCACCATTATACAGATGGTATAGTCAGGTCCAAAGTGGCTACAAGCACCCACCATCTCTACCCAAGAATAGTATGGCGTAATGATTTGCAGCCATGTTGTAGCCATTCTCTTTCATCCAAACTAGCCCTTGCCACTATGTGACTAGCTGATTGGATTGGATTGGGCTATTCCATTCACTTGTCTATCCCAGTTTGGTACTGAAGTGGCATGTTGTAGAAACTCCTGATCATTTTATACAAGGTCAGGAGGCACTCAGTCACAAGGACTCCATCCCCGGATATCACAGGTCACCACCCATGGCAAACAGGGAATTTGTGGTTTTTGAGAATCTGTATAAATGCATTCTTTATATATTGCAATTTTATAGATGTTTTTGTATGGACAGTCAGTTTAGGCATAATATTTTGTGTAAACAGATAGTTTGTGGATTATGATTTTTGCTGGTATTTTAAAAGGTATCTATTTTTTTCTTTTTCAATCAATTGTTTATAAGGAAAAATTATTTTTCCTAAAGGCACCATCCTAGGTATAAACATATAGGTTGTAGACTTATTGTATAAGCTGATGGGTTGTAGATGTTTCTTCATATAAAAAAAATTAGTTTCTAATCCATCTTGCTTCCTATACTATACCTGGTTGTAGTTTAATGTTGTACCCAGGACATAGGTGAACTCATTTTGTGAAAAACCCACAATTGCAATTTAACCTTATACCCAAAATGTAGATGCAGTTTAAGGTCATGCCCAGGACAATGATGAAAAATTAAGAAAACAAAAGATAAAAAAAAATACCCAACTTACGTAACTAAATGAATGTGCTGGAAGTCAAACCAGAACACCACAGCAAAGGCTAAGAGACTGGAACACTGAGCAAATAAACTGGGAGTGAGAAAAAAAAAAAATAAGTAAATTTTTAAATGCCATCTACATAGTTGTTTATGAATTCTTTTCAACATAAGGATTGGAAATTGCACAGTAGGTAAAATTAAAAGTTATGATGAATGTTTTTCCTTTAATTTTTCAGAATGTTTTCCTGCTAAATCAGCTGCTGGTTGTAAAACAAAATACAAAATTTTATATGAAAGAAAATCCCTTATACACTTATATGTGGTTATTTATTCACATGTAGTTAAATATAAGAGAAAAATAAAGAAAATACAAATAATCTGAATTTAAATCAAAATTGGTCAATATTTTAAAACTTTCTCATTGTCATTTTTTTTTTTTAATTTCATTAAAAATTAAAAGTAAAAAGCAGCTGTATAATGATGAAGTTTCATTTTATTTTCAGTTATTTTAACAAATACTTATTTACATTATTTACCATTGTACTAAAATCCTCACATTTATTATCAAAACATTTTGACCCTTATGGTATTTCTTCAAGTATTTGTCAATCTGGAAATTTAAAACTAAATACTTTATTTAATCTACAGAGATAGTGTTATCATTTCACTGTCCCTGTCTATGGATATCTCATTCTTTTTTAGTACTGCTCAATTATTGATTGTCTTGTTTCTACTGAGTCTATACTATCCAGTACAAGGATTGAAATCAGTTACTATATCACCAAATTCATGAGTCAACACTTTAATCTTTTAGGCTATTGGCCCATGGGAATGAGAACAATCTATCCTCATAGATTAAATAAAGGGTTCAGTATGAAATTTCTTGCAGGTTAGCTGGATCAGTAGACACCTGAACAAGGCCAGTGGGTAAAACAAACAAAAATATTGTGATACTAACAAAAATGAAAACATTAGTCTTACTATAAACAATGTAAATGATAACTCCACATCCAAAAAATTCAGACAGAAATTAAATATATCTAAAAGAATTCAACCATTTTGAATATCTTAAGAATTTTTTTGTAGGGATTTGCTGTAACTTGGTAACTAAATAGAGGGAACTTTAATTACTGCACATATGCATGAACAAACACTCTCCTGTGGGGTTACTTATTATATAAAGTATTTCATGGGAATATTCATCTGACAGTGAGATACCATTGATTACACTTGCAGAGAGTGTAACCATTCCATTCTTGTGTAGGGCATTTGGCAAAACATCAGTTATGCTTCCCCCAAATTCTGCATTTTCTCACAGCTAAAATTGTCATTGAATGGAAGGAGATTTCAGATCAAAGAAAAAAATAATTAATAAAACATAATATGACAGCTGATGACAATCCCAAATGATTTTGTAGATAGTTTTGAAAAGTGAAAGAGACACTACTGCTCTACTGCTAGTCTTTAATATATATAGGTCATCAGTAAAGAACAAAAAAAAAAACACACACAGCAAAGAAGAGATTAAAGAAAATGAATATGATAAATTGGTAATTAGGAGAGAGAGAGATATTTAAATGTCAGGTCTGAATTAGATCAATTTAGAGAAACAGTGGGTGGAATCTTACTTTGACACCTGCCAAAAGATTTATCACTTTTGTTTAGAATAATAGTCAGCTCTGTGTCCAGCAACTGGATGAAGACATAGAACTGTCAGAATTAAATTATACTTTGTTAGGTTCAAGTGTTCAAAAGAGACAACAATTCTTAATAGATCCAAAAAGAGGGATCTAAGACATCCAATAGATGTGGGATATAAAAGCAAAGAAGATTGCTTCCCTAACAGACATTACATTCCTAAATTATGGAAATAAATATAGCAACCCAATTCTCCTCCTGACTAGTCTTCCAGAGTGATTGTCAGTTAGCAGAGATCCTACTCTGTCAATTCGATAATTCTACGTAACACTTCCACCTCTTTGCCAAATAAACTGCTTTTGAAAAAGAAAAGTTAATTAAAACCCAGAGGAAAAAATAAAAGCTAATCAATTTGAAACAAACACATCAAGGAACTCAAAGCCAGGTGAGATGAGTTACACAAAGTGCTTACAAGATTAAATTGAATAGGAAAGCTAATATTTTCTAGAGTCTATTAATACATTATTAGTTACTATGCTAAAGAGATTCGAGACACTATAGAATATTGGTCTTACACTCAAATACTATTACTTTCTTTAAAAGAATTTATTTACAATATTTGCACATTCAAAAGGTTTGCATAATTACAAAATGAATAGTTCTACTTATCTAGTATTCATAGTAAACTGTTCTGTCTGATTTCAACTTAAATGCATTATACACCAATCGAAAGAACAAGTTTTGATAAATTTACAAATCTTTCATAAGATAATTCCTTTCAAAAGGTTAAAACCAGTTTTAATGTATATAAAAGTTTTATTTTTATCACTTGCTTAAATGTATTCAAATTTGTTTTAGGTAAGTTTTATAATAAGCCTCAAGAAAAACATCACATATGTACAATGTAACATTACTATGAATGTAATTATTACAAAAATTTATTTTTGGGGGGCACACCAATATATATCTTAAATTATAGCCTAGGTGGTGTATTTAGAGCAAAAGATTTCATGCACTTATCAGATACAGGGATTATATTTCATTTTTATTTTCCAGGAAAATGCCTTTTCACTATTTTTATTAGTATTTGACAGGCTATTTGATGAAAGGATCAGATTAATTTATTACTATGCTCATTGGTAGAAAAAAAGCTACTTGCTATAAAATATGAAGTAATTTACTTGGAGAAATTAGTTTTATTCCAATTTTCTATTTAGTTTTCTCACAGCTTGTTATAAATATATTGTACAGTCCTAGTAACTGTTTATTCCTTTTGTTGATACAAGAACAAACAACTGTCCTTTTGTAGGATAGTCTTGTTAATAAATTACTAGTTTGGCTTTCACAAAACTAATCCTCCTTTCTAGGTTGTGTCACAAATACTTCAGATAAGTGGAGCCATAATGTATTGTCAATTTAATTGAATTTTGAGTAAATAATTTATTGGCTGTAAATTTTCTTTGCTCTTACCTGGATATTGACAAGCTGTTCAGGTGTCGGAAGAGAGTAAGAAGACAAAGAGGAGGCAATAAAATGGCAAGACATTCGAAGCTGTAATAAATAAATATATTTACATTATAAATCTGACAAAAAACAAAATACCTTCTTCATCAAATTTTAAGGCTAACAACCAACAATGATTGTTTAAATGGGACAATTCCTGTTGATAATTGTTATTTGAGTAATGGGCATATATATATAATTATTTAAAAATTATAACAAATTTGTTATAAAAATCACTACAAAAATAGCCATTTTGTTTCAACACCTCTGGTGTCTTATCAAGTGATGATGTTAGGTTATAATAATGAAGTAAGGTTATTATAACCTTACTTTGTAAAGTTTTTTGAATTCTCGTATACTTGTATTTATATTGGTCCTATCAGCTCATGTAACAGCGTTTCCTCTTACGAGGGGTGGTTAATTAATTTGAACCTTTTAAAACCTTTATTCTACAATCTACATTCAACATCCTCACTTGATAAGACACCAGAGGTGTTGAAACAAAATGGCTATTTTTGTAGTGATTTTATAACATATTTATGTTATAATTTTTTAAATAAATAATTATATTCGCTCTACTCTGTATTGAGCACTCTTAAGAATAGTAGTTGTTGGTTATTGGAATTTATTCCGTATACACCAATCATATACTTGGAGATTATATATATATATATATATATATATATATATATATATATATATATATATATATATAAACTGTTCTAATGGTAATGATGAAACTGGCTGTTTCCTTATATGGAAACATTTAGCATTCATCAACTTACCATCAGTTGAAATTTATAAAATTTTTCTCTCAAAAGTGTTTAAAAGATAATCGTTTTCTCAAGTCCATTAACTGGTATTGCTCTTTCTAGTACTGATTGTGACTTCCTAACCTTTTGTTTGAGGTAGTAGGGAAAGTCAACATGGGAATTTTGTCATTTTCTCTTTAGTTATGTTGTTGGCGCTGTTGAATGTCTTCAAGTGATGTGGTATCTGTTATTTGGTTAAGTTCTTTATTTGTGATTCTGCAGCACAAATCCACAAGATCTGATAAAGGATAGTCTTCTTTGAGACTTATAGGGTTCATTCTGATGTCATTGGGAAAATCATGAATCCAATGCTCTCATCTCTCATTAGATATCTGGATAAGAATGTTATAATGTTTGATGAAAAGAACAGATGAGTAAATTAGACAAATCACTCTCATAACTATTTGTCCAGACAGTAACAATAAAAATTTGTTATAGCCATTGTCATAATATTAATTTCAGTATTTTATATTCTCTTTTCTATATTATTAACTTCTATTATTATAACACAAATACATTTTGCCCAAGTAAAATGCCCCAACTTATGACCAATTTGATTATAATGTTTATTGTTTAAGTGAAGATAAATTAAATTTCAAGAATCACTATATTTCCAAGAATTCTTCAAATTATTTAACCTATTTTTTTTTATCTTGCTTTTGCCTTTTGACTGATCTGGTTAGAAGAGAGCTCATATTATTCTTTCTGAGATAAGATCTATTTAATAAGGAAAATTGCTTGAAGGTGAGGAAATTAAAAGAAGCTGCAAACATTAGCCTTTCAGATAAGAACCATTATGGGTTTAAAAATTGGTATGAATTTCTTAGCAAGGAAAATATTGAAGAGTAATTCCACATATAAAATATAGAATTGTATATATCACATCTATTGTTGTAAGGTTTAGTATAATTGATTGGTTGGATTAGTATATTTCCAACTATTTCGTTCTGTTTAGCTACTATTTTTATTCCTTATAGTATTACACACTGCTTAGGTGAAAATTGTTTTTTTTTATACTAATTCTACACCTGATAACTAGATCCACTGAAACAAATAAGATCAATAGTGTGAATAACACTTAGAAATAAATTTCCAATATTTTCTATCACCAGTACAGCTTGTGTTTGACAAAGCTTTTGTTTTATGTACTTCTGATATGATCTATCATGTCCATTCTTGAAACATGGAATTACTGACACTTAAAAATATTTCACCAACAATACAAACATCTTACTTCACTGTACATTTTCAGTTGTGCTTAACACTTTCATTGCTGTATTATATTATTGTTGCCTGGCTGTGCTGGCTCATTTGGGGAAAAATAGGAAATAACCATTTACTGGAGATAAATGAGTATAAATTTGGTTTTGAACAGTTACTCTGCAGTACAGACTAAGCTAAATGACACCCTAACACAAAAATACATCACAAAACAGGTTGTATTGTAAACTACTACATGTCTATGCTGGTTTTGAAATAGCATTAAGCACTAGTTAATTTATAATACAAGTGTTAGTGGCCAACTTTTCACAGTGTCTTGAAAATGCATATATACATTAAGATCCGACAATGTAAGTTTCTTAAAATGTATAAGTATATCCACCACAGTGGAAATGTTAATGAATTCTTATAGATATTTACTAAGCTTAGCCTGGAGTGGAAATTGGTGGCTATGAACATTGTTTCACTGTGGTGGTTCACTATTAGTCATGTAGGTGACAGATGAAAAAGCTCATTAGTGACCTAACAGAGCTTTGCCCATCAAAGAAAGATTGACCAATCAACAGGGAGAGAAAAAAAATATCAAATGCTTGGCAATAAGTCAGTAGTTAAATTTATAGCAAAATTTTGTAGCATTTGTCCTCTGGTCAGTAAGACACTGATATTGAAAGAATGCCAGGATAAGATAGTATAGTAGGAGAGTTAAAATTATGTGACTATATAATCTTTGTATTGTTGACCTTCATGATTTTGAGAAATGAGCATTACAAACCTGACATTTTTAACAAATTTTCTTGCCATCCTTGTAGTAATATATATTCAGAATATAGCCAATGCCTTGATAATATTCTCATATTCTTTTTTCAATATTGTTCAAGAATTTTCCATTATATTTCTTTTTTTGTTTAAGTGTGCAGTTTTGGGCAAAAAACATTTCAGAGTTTTTAATCTAAGATGATTAGTAACATACAAGTGTATACAAGACTCCAAGAGTTTCACAACTGTAACTGCTGCCACAAATTATGACAATAGCTTGCCAACTTTTTTAGTTCATGCACTTTTTTCTACCATATTTCAGAAAGTCATTCCTCCTCTCCAAAGATTAATTCAAAAGATGCATTGTAAAAAGTTTAATCTTACACCAGTTCCCTAAATGCTACAAACTTAATCTCTTCAAATCAGAGCCAATTGCTATCTATCCTCCTTATCCTTATACTCTTCACTTCCTTCTATCTCCTCTTACATTCAGATAAAAGACTATTAAGTAGCCCTCAACCACAAGTATTAAGTGAACTTGTATTAATTGAACTTTAGAAGGTTAAAAAAAATGCTTGAGTATGCAATTTTGTGGTTTTAATTCTCCATTGAAACTTTTATTTCCCTAATAATTGAGAGGCAATCACTTATGACAAAAAGAGTGTGCATGCATATCTTTTTATTGTATGAATTTTTTTAGCTTCATACAAAAATAAAATCTTTAAAAAATTTGAAGTGGGTGAATTATATAGGTGCTGTCAAAAGAAAAAAGAAAAATTCAGCAAATTTTGAAAAAATTCAATTGAAAGCAGAAACAGATACAAATGATATGATTTAACAATGAAAAGTTTTAGGCCAAGAAATCTTACAAAGACTTCATCCATTGTATTTTGTATATATTTGCTATCTGTACACATGAAAAGAAAAAGCAAAGCAAAAACAGAATTTCTTTTACAGGTGTAATATTAGTAAACAAACCAAACTACACTCACAGTGTTATTCCATGGATGTTATCAGATAAGTTTTCACAAATAAAAATTAGGTAGGCACAACAAAATCCTGAAAGAGGAATGAATTTTAAAAATTGGTTAAAATATTGCACAAAACCACAATTAAAGAAAATACCACATAGAAAAGTATTTTTATATTTAAAAATTATAAATTGAAATAACATTTCCCATCTTTAGATGTTTACATTTAGAAAAATACAAGAAATGGATGCCACACCCCTGGATTCCCCAAACCATGAAATAAAAGAAAATTAAAAAAAAAAAAAATTAATATAAGAAAAATGCTTGTTTTATTTCCTAAAACTTTGAATATTGGATAATGTTTTTAGTCTCATGAACTAGAAGATATAAAAAAAAAAATGTAAAATTAATTACCCAATGTATTTTATCCAAATAATAATAAATCACTCTAATATATAGATATGGATATATGCATAGTAGCCTAGTACAGAACCCAGGACTTCTATTCTAGGGTTAATTTAGATTGTCAACAATCCAGTTACCTGGAAGTTTAATTGATAAAGTTGTTAAGTAAACTGATCAGAAAGTATTTCATTATATTATTCAAATAAAACAAAGCATATAAGTTTAATTTCAGCAAACATTTCCTTTAATGATGTAAAAAAAATCATAAAATTATTTGTACAGTATTACAAACAATGAATTCATAATCGACTATACCATTCTGAGTAAATAATAACGGCTTAAAGGTAGTAAGTGCAACTGATATTAAATATGCCATGATTGAATTTTCAAAAGTCAAACCAAACTTAAAACAACTGTAACAGTATTTTCTGAGACATTGATTCCATAAAAAGATCTTTAGTCATCGTGAGGTTTTGCTAATTAAAAATCCATTGTTAAAAACTTTTAACCATAATTATTTAATCCAGTAAATAAGTGATCAATTTATTTTTGTAGGTAACTAATGTCCATAACTACACAAATTTCTAAAGTGGTTGCAACACTAAATCTCAATAATTAAAAAAAAAAAAAATAAAAATTTAGCCTGGGAAATTTGTCAAAATATTTAATTGTTAAGCACATTGAGCTTATAATTAAATCTGTTGCCAATCATCTTAAGTTTGTTTTTAACAAGGCAAAAACTGCATTTTAACATTTTTACATTAATATTAAGAAATAGGATAGCTGGACATATTTTTAAAAGTCATCAGATGAGTAATATCATGATAGTAATAGTAACAATAATAATAGTTACATAATGCATTGTTTTGAATTTTTAATAATACTTCCAGAGTTTATTTAAAGAAAAAAAAACAAAACTTTTTTTGCACAAAAAAACAAAAAAGTTAAAATAACATTTATGCTATTCACAAGGGAATTGCTCTGTTCATTTTATTGAAGCCTTTCAAATTGTTTTGGATAATAAAAAGGAAAATATATGTAGGTGTATTATATTTCGAGCAGACATTTTTTAAAAAAAATCATACAAACAGGTTTATTTTGAAAGAAAAACTGGCTAAATTGTTCACATATTCACTCTAGTCCAACTATTCATATTAGCTGAGTTGGAAATAGTATAAGAGAAAACAATAATAGTAACTGTTTAATAACTAACTTTAGAAAGTAGAACAAACAATTACTGATACTTTTTAATACTTTGAAGGAAAATTGAATTCAACTGAGAGGCATCTCTAATCTAGAAACATATTGATACATATTAATACAAATAAAATCCACAAAGACGTTTAAGGTGTTGATTAGCAAATAAATGAAAAGAATGCAGTAAAAAGCTAAAGAACAAGTACAACAAAGAGGAAAAAAAAAAAAAAAAAAAAAAAGGAGTGATAAAGGAGAAAGTATTGCTGAAAACAACAAGACAGACAGCTGTGGAGAACCATGATTGTCCACATCCTGAGGGCAGAAAGAGATTTTAATTAAAATTGTGGGAAATATATTTTGCAGCTAACAGATATAAGTTTTAAATTAAAATCCTAAGCTTCCTTATGATTTAAAAACATTGCTGATGCTGTTCTACAACTTAAAAACCAAAACCAAAATAATGAACAATGTAGTCTGATCAATAGACCATATAAAACAATGAGAGTAAATAACTATACATTTTAAAATATTTAAATTTAGCTCTTTCAACTTTTGCACAAACATTTTTCATATTGAGCACTACTTTTCAGATTCTTTTTTTAAGCATTTTTGTCCCATCTCTAAAAAAACTAACAGTATTATCATATAACAAACAGCTGGGTTTATTTACACTACAGTAATCAACAATTGATATTATTAATTGATATTTTTTTTCTTGGGACTTGTTAGGATTGAAAGCTTTTTTTTTTCTATAGCTTATCAACCCTTTGCAGGTTATTTAAAGCCAGAAAATATTTTTAGATTGTCAGAATTTTTTTTTAGATAATAATGATTTAGTGATACTAGTTTTACTAATTAACCCACAGCTGGGGAAGAAGAGGTAGATGCATACTTTTCCCCAAGAGTATTTGTACTTAAGTGAATATAACAAACTGGAATTGGAACATGGCTCTCGGATTAACAATTCTGAGCCATTATCCATTGCATCAAGCTTACAGCATATGGTATTCTCAAGTGGTCACCCATCCACGTACTGACCAAGCTCAACATTGCTTAACATTGATGATCATATGAGAACCAGTGTGTCAACAATATGCCCATAAACCTTAGGATTGAAAGTGTTAGTAGCAAATAATTCTTTCTTTTGTTAATACCTATAATGTTAAGACGAGATACCAAATTTAAGGCATTGTTATTTAAGACAAAATTTACTTGCATGTTTAAAGATCAATGCTACTACAGTAAAAAAAAAAAAAAAAAAAAAATAGCATTTGAAAATATTAAGAATATTTTTTAAATAACAGACTATTGACCTTTATTGACCTAATATACTTTACAGCAGTTAAATAAACAGAAATTTTAAAATATATTTTCTAAAAAATCTTAAAATGTCAAACTTTATAGATATTGTTTATAATTTTTAGAAGAGTCATTCACATTGCAAGTTGTCAAATTTTATATTTTTAAATTCATTTCTATGACTGTAGGTACACATTTCTTTTTATATGCCATGTCCTTTCAGGATGTAGGCGATCATGGCTCACCACCTCCTATTCCTTGCAGCTCTCAACAGGTTCCTTCCCTTTGCTACCTCCCCTTCATCCACCTGCTCAAGCCCGCTAGGAATGTCATGCACTGCTTTCCCTTTTCTTGCTTTCTCTCTATTCGATCAGTGAGTATTGGATTCTCCAGACCCTCCTTCCTCATTATGTGTCCCAGAAACTTCAGCTGCCTCTTCCTGATGTTAAGCATAAGCCTTCTCCTTGTTTGCATTCTCTCTAAGACCTCATCATTGCTTACACGTTGAGTACATGATATTCTTAGCATCTTTCTGTAGTCTCTTCTTCATCCTTGAGGAAATCGTCTAGCATTCTCTGACAATGTAAAGGACAGATGTCACATAATAGCTCAGTATTCTTTTCTTTGTTACCAAAGAAATCCTCCTGTCTCACAATACTCTGCCCAGCTTTTGGAATGGGTCCTTGGCCATCCCAATATGTCTACAGATCTGGGCACCTTGAGGCGGTGTAGTAGTTAGCAAGCTTGTCTTGCTAGAACAATTACAACTGAGTAGTGAGTTCGATCTTCACTGGGTGCCTCATACTTTCGACCTTGTGCCACATCTAAGCTATGCTTGGAAAATCACTATGTCTACAGATCTCAGTGTCGCACTTACTATCCTCTGTCAAAATGCTTCCCAGATATTTAAACTTCCGTGTCTGCTTGATTCTAGTGTTTCTGATCTGCTAATTGCATTTTGGGCTCATCCTCTTACTGATGACCATGCATTTCGTCTTGTAGTTTATGCTTAGTCCCTTCTTCTCACTCTCCATTGCTAGCTTCTGTAGGAGATTTTGTAATTTCTTTTCTGTTTCTTCTAGTACTGATACTGTGTTATCTTATGTTGTTAAGATTGTGGTCGCCAATGCTAAATCCTGGCAGGGTTTTCAGTTCTCTAAGAATTGACTCGCTGTATATGTTGAACAGGTCGGATGAGAAGAAGCATCCTTGCCTTACTCCCCTTTCTATTTTTGTATATTCACTGACCTTGTTCCCTATGCACATGCATGCTGTTTGCTGACAGTATAGGTTCTTGATAATTCCGGTATCTTTCCCGAATATATCAAGTTTGCCGAGCAGTTCCAGCAGATCCTTGTGGCGTACTCTGTCAAAGGCCTTTGTGTCTGAAACCTAGCTACATGTCCTTCTGCAATTGTATTGCTCTTTCTGATAACCTTCTGAGCATGAATATTGTGTTCCTTCTTCTAGTGTCTTTAACAAACCAGCACTGTATTTGTCCTATCTCTGACCTGATTTTGCTGCATGCTCTATTCATCAGAATACAGAGGATGAGTTTTTTCACATGATCCATTAGGCTTATTGTCTTCCAGTATATACCCGCTGGTGTAGATTTCATTTATTTTGGTGATCTTATCTATGCCAAAGTCATCTAAGGCTGTCAGCATTTTCATTACAATTCTGTCTGGCCCAGCTGCCTTGTTTCTGTTCAATTTGGCCAGTGCAACTTTTACTTCAGTTTTCAAAATTCCAGGTCCATCAGTAGTTCTATGTATTGCTGGTTGTTCCCTTTCATTGTGGAAGAGTTCTCCAATATACTCAACTCCAGTGTTGAAGAATTTTTTCCTTCTCTAATATGAGCATTCCATCCTTTGATTTTAGGCAGCCTGTTGATGAGAATGTCTTCTATCTTGTTAGTTACCTTAATTGTTTATGCATGTCTCTTTAGTTGGTAGTACTCAATCTTTCTATTTTAGCACATTTTTCATTTAGCCATTCTTCTTTAGCTTGCCTACATTTGGTCCTTATTTCATTGTGTAATTTTCTGTACTCCATTCCATATCTTGGCAGAGTTTTCTGTCCTTTCCATCAGGTTGAGAATCTCATCAGTCATCCATTCATTTTTTCTTCTTCATCTTGTTTCCTTTGGGATGATATTGTTGGCTGATGTCACTAAAGTTTCTATCGTGCCTCATATCTTCACATTGTCCATATATTTTTCTTTTAGGCTAGGATTGCTCAGGAGTTTGTTGTACTGCAGTTTGGGTGCTGCATTAAGCTTCTTCAATTTCAGCAGTTTCACTCTTAGTTTACATATGAGAGGGTGATGATCACTTCCGCAGTCGGCACTTGGGTAGATTTTGCAGTGAATCAATGCATTACTGAAACCTTTGTTGATGGTTATATAATCAATTTGGTTCTTAGTTTTCTCCTCCTGGGCTCCTCCATGTCCATAGTAGTCTCAGATGTTCTTTGAACCATATGTTGACTATTACCTGGTCATTGGCTGTGCACCATTGGATCCATTTTTCTCCACGTTCATCGAGGGTTCCTAATCTGAATCTTCCTGCTATATCCCCTGCCCTTTCCCTGCCTACTTTGGCATTTAGGTCTCCCATGAAGGTAAGACATTAGCTAGAAAAGACACCAATGCAACTAATGTCTTACCATTATGTGGGAGGTATTTATGCCCTGTATTATACAATACTACTGAAGTCTATCAGAATTCTGAAAGTTTTTCTTGATATGTTCAAGATTCTGATACTTTTTTTCTTAATTAAATTATTCATGGATACTTTTTTGCAGATGTCCGAGTTATGTATGTTAGCATCTTATTGGCAAAATCTGATAAATTATCATGCAAATAATAGAATCAATTAAAACAGAATAGGAATAGCAAAATTACATTTTTTCTTAAATACTTACCTACTTGAGATATCAGTAATACAGAATCAACTACCATTCGACCAAACCTTCCCATGGCAAAATACCCTAAAATAATTACATGTAGAACAAACTGAATTATTTATGTGATAAAGTATTGAAAAAAATATTGCAACAAATTAGAAATATACATTAAAAAAAGAAGCCCAAAATGTACTCAAAATAAATTTATTAAAAATACTTACTATATTTTCTATCAAAATCATTTTTAGTTTGTATTTTACTGCAAAATAATACTGTGTCTATGCACACTGATAATGATAAAAAAAAATGGTTAAAAATAGTTTAGAAAAATATTTGTCACTAAATATTAGGATAAGAAATAGTGTGGAGTGGTGTTTTGTTGATATTTCTATTATCTTATTATCTATGACAATTAATGGTTAAAATAATATGTTTAATGATTACAGACAAAGAATGTTTTCTTTCTTATTCTTTAAAAATGACCATTCACAAGATCAAAGTTAATGCAAAATGTACACAAGTCAAAAACTTATGAGTAGTTCTTGCATAAACTATCTACTAACCTCTGTCCACTAGTAAAGAATCCAGAAAATTTAAAATAAATAAAAATGAATGCAAGGTAAAGATATTCCCTGTCAAACTTAAATTATTGAATGATTGCCATCTAAATATACAGATAACATGCTAAAATTTGAAAACTATATACCCAGATGCTAAACAATGAAACATCAGTATTAAAGTATCATGAAAAGAGTTACCCCTGATTTGGATAAATAACTTCTAACAATTATTGTTGTCCTTAAGGATGGTTGTATGGAAATTGTATATTCCATAATATGTATTAGCTATAAAAGTATAAGCACAATCAGGTTAATTTTTTTTTTAAAATGTTAGCACAGCTGTGCCCTAGCATATAGATATTTTTTAATTCCTATATTGAGAGAATATATAACAAGAATTCATGTTTTTCCACTGCTTGACATAAAAAAAAAAAAAAAAGAAAAATAAAGACAAATGAAACCATGCCTTAAAAAATGCATAAATAAACAAAAAATCAAAAACAAATTAAAAAGTAAATCAATAATATAAGATAAATCTTCCATGTTTTTTTCTTTGTTTTTTTGTGAAATTTAAAATAAAAAAAGGTTTGAGAATTTTGGAATTAAATTCTACCATTTCAGTTATCAAATAGCTATTAATATATTTTAAATTTTCTTCAATTAACAAGGCTTACAATTAGCTTCAAATGAAGGCAAGGGGCCCAACAATAATGTGTCAACAACAAAAAGGTACAATTACGACATTTGAAATAACCCTGACTACATTATTGAAATTATTGAATGAAGAAAAAAAATTAAGTAATTATAGGTGGCTTAATATTACTTGAGAGAAACAAAAAAATTTTTTTTGACATATTTGAATGTTATTTAGATGCTAGCAAACATGCAACTTTCTGATGTATCACATTTTTAGGTCATACATTAACCTTGAAGGATAACTTATTGTGGGCTATTTATTTTGATCTTAGAGTGCTAAGTGGCTGATGTTTTCAATCTAGGATAACACACACATTTTATATATATATATATATATATATATATATATATATATATATATATATATATATATATATTATAAAACACTTATTTACAGTAGATTCAGATATATAGTATATTCACCAACTGTAGCTGAATGGTTAGCAAGCTCATTTGAAAGACTAACAATGTAACATGTTCAATCCTCATTAGATGTCCCAGACTAAGCTAAGCTTGGTGTATAAATTGGAGTTCTGCTATGGTGTAATGCCTAGCAAATTAATCTCTTAGACAATTACTACTGTAATTAAGCTCAACTTAATAGGAATACCTGTACTTTGTTAATAAAAAAAAATCAGGGTTTTTTTATCAAATGTTAAAAAATAGTTTAATATTTTTGCCCAAAGTAAAACTACAGTTGATATAAAGTAATATTATAGACATTTTACAAGAGTTTAGCACTGCAATGTTACATATCACAGACACAAAAGTAAACAATTTAAAAATTATAAAAAATAAGGCTACTTGTCTCCTATTTAATCTTTATCTAGAATTTGACAATTTTAATAATGAAAACTATAGTATCAACTATAATTTTTTAAGTGTTTTTTTTTGTAGGAAAAATATAAAATTCAACTTACCTAAATCACCATAAGACAGATCCTGAATCTAATTTTTGAAAGAAAAATTAAATTAAATTTAAGTTAACAGTAAAATATTAAATGCATATTTATTAAAAATTTATTCAACTTAAAGTATTCCTATATAACATTCTAAAATGATATCTAAATCCTTACTCTCAAAAAATTATGCACAGGTTTCATGATTATTATAAAGATACAATGACTAAGGTATAGACAACTCTAGATTTATTGAACATGTATCAAAAAAGCATAAAGTTTAAATGTTTGTCCAGTCCAAGATTTCTGCAAATCAGGAATCTCCAACCAAAAAAATAAATAAAAATAAAAAACAGTTTACATGACAGTACAAAAAAACAAAAACAAAAAAACTGCTAAGCAAATCAAGCATACAGATCTTGACAATGATTATCCCATGTTATGTTTATATTCTCATTTGTGTCAGTGTGCACTAAAACTGTGAAAGGCTTACTACAAGTTCAGAAGAAAATAAAAGATGAAAATAAATGCAGCAGTGAGAAATGAGAACTTGAACCCAGTTTCCAAATAATGGTAAGGCAAGTAATGCCAATGGTGTTTTCATCTAGCTAATGTCTTACCATTATGTGGGATGTATTTCTGTTGCTCCATGCAATTAGGTGTTTTATTTCAAGACTTCATTTGCACAGTCTGGGTGGGTAGGTATTTGACACTTGGGACAACATCTATGTTGGACTTATAGATCAGCTCTTCCCTTTTGACTTCCTCCTATCAACTATCTCAACATATGGATGGAAATATGGATGGTGGCATTAGAACTACCATAGGGACAGCTAAGGGTGGATCAGAACTGGCTTTGTTAATCCCAACTGTGACTTAATATAGCAGCAACCAGAAATCATCAATGTCTGGTTTGTTGACTCTTAACCTTGAAAGCTCTCATTTCTTCTTTTATTTTCATTCAGATAAATGTTTAGAAAGCCAGACTTCAAAGATTCCATCCACCAGTCATAAAACAAGAAACACTTGAGATAAAAAATCCCACACCTTCTCCATCTGTGTGGACGTTCTAATCATAGTGCCACGCAGAAATTAAGATTGTATCAGGCAATTGGTGAAGAAAAGGAATGGAATATAGTTAGATATTAATGAGTGCAGCCAAAATACTCTACAGTCTAAGGCAGCTATCACAAGACATGCTTTGAGGAAAAAAGGATGTACATATCTTCTAAAAAGCCTATTATATCTTCTCAAAAGCCTATTATTTATTTCTGAGCCATGTTGCTTGCTAATATAGAATTTTAACCCCTTGTATCTTAATGAATTATTGCCTTGCTTGGGGTGAAATGATAAAGAAAATGAATAGCAGTCTGACTATTGTGATAAAAAGCAAGTGAAATTTAAAGAAATACTACATGAAAAATTAATAAAATTTGTTCACACACATTCTACAGGTCTTCCCTATACTTTTTGTCAGTTTATAAAGTTGTCATATGGTAATAAGCATAATTTTTAGTTCTCATGTTCTGCATTATGTCAAACTTAGTAAACATCTACATTACTAAAATTTTATTAGTGAGAACAAAATTTGGGTGCTAAGTGGAATTTGATATGTATTCATTTATTTTGCATGTTTCTAAACTTGGAGAAAGAAAAATTCCAAAATAAAGGCTGAAACAAAATGCAAGCAGGTTCAACCAGCAAGAAAAAAAAACAAGCAATATAAAAACATTCATACAAAATTATGCAAATAAATATTCTCCAATCTTTAAAAACTTTTTTTTTTGTTTGTTATTGAGGTACCACTAGATGTTTTTGAAATGATCAAAAAACAGATCCCTATTGTTTTGAAGCAGTCAGGTTGCCTTTTGTTAGACTAACTGAAAATAAATCAGAATAGTCTAGTATTTATCATTCTTTTAATGTATTCAAAGAAATGGCAAATTTGTAAAACCTAGAATATAAGACAAGATCAATGTTTTTTATCATTAAAGGATGGATAAAGTATTAAAAATGCACAGGAGCAAACAAATGTGCACTGGGTAGAAAGCCCAGAAATTTGTGATTCTCAAAAGGAATTCAAATTAGGAATTTTTATTACTATCCACACATACACACACGTATTCAGATAAACAGGAAAGTGGATAGGTATACAAAAGGTAGGTAGCCAAGGGATATTATTTATAATTTTTTTTTTTTTTTTTTTTTAAAGTTGTTTCCCCACAAAGCAGAGGTCTGGTTAAAAGGTGGGATCCAATAAACAAGGGAATTATGAAAAAACAAAAAAAAACAAACTATGACTGGATAGAGGAGTAGGTTTTGGGTTCCAACAATATAAAACATTATTTTTAAAACAATGCTTAGCATACCTGGTTTGAATCAGAAGAATCCTGCAAGGGGAAAATGAATTAAAAGAAGAAAAAGTTAAATACGTAATTAATAAGATGAAACTACAAGAGAAAAATATTAAACTGTTTCAGAAAGTACAAATTTCATTCAGATATTGATCTGAATCTTTGAGAGATGTGTCCGAGACTAACTAATATAGTGTGTGTGGTTCACTGTAGATAAATGCTATCAAGCTCATCAACACAGGTATCTCTCAAGGTCTACTTTTTTTCTACTTCTTGTTAATGACATAATAGAAACATTCTCAGATCATTAGTAAACATCTATGCAGATGATATCATTGTTTATGGATGCACTTACAAAAACAAAATGACTGGAGCCTTGCAGCTGATCCCTCTCCTGACTTAGCTTTAAGAGCTCAATGGGGAAATAATAAAGCTTGTAACTTTCAATACCTCAAAAATCAAGCTAGTATCATTTAATCATCACCATTCAAATCTTGAGTTTTCTCCAGTCACAAGGAACAGTCCCACTCTCAATGAGGTCCTATGCTCTGAACATCTATTGAATCAAAAGTTCACTCCAGACCTCAAGTGTAACTCATATATACAATCCATTACTAAAGATGATGGAAAGAAAATAGTTATTTTATTTGACTCCCGAGTCATATTAGGCCAGCTAGGGTTGCTCAATCCTCACTTTTTAGCATCGATAGAGTTCAAAATCTTTTATGCAGTCTTGTGGTGAAGACACATTCTGCAACCTCTTTCATACAGATAATGTTGCAAACCCATTGCTTCTCTGTTGCTATTTCCATGGCATATGTTCAGATGAACTCCATTCTTCAGTTCTACTAGATATTTAAAACTATGATACATCATGCCACTTCCATGACGTTAAACCATTTTATTTCCTGTGAGTGTAACAAAAAAATTCCATTTAGCCCCTCCTGCCCAAGAACTGTCACTTTGTGGAACAAACTCCCATGTTGGTGCTTCTAAAATGCTTCAACCTCTTCATATCAGGGGTCAATCATTATCTAACCTCTTTATCCTAATAATCTTCATTCCCTACAACCTTCTCTTCCATTCATATTAAATACCTCCATACCATTTTGACAATAACCCTCTACCTTGAGCTGCTCTTAAGCTTTGTACTGAGAAAAATTAATTTAAAAAATAATGTTTCAAAATATCAATACTTTTCAGCTGCTTTTACATATTCAAGATCTTTCTCACAAGAATAACTTCCACCTAAAATATGATTTAAAAAGTTAAAAAATAAAATACCTAAAAATGATGGTGAAAATAAATGGGAAATATATGATGCAAAGATTTTTTTCTGAGAATATTTATTGTACTTTCAATTCAAGAGCTATAAAAAAAAAAAAAAAATTCCACTTAATAAAAAATAAAAATGTTTAAGAGCAGCATATAAAGCAAAGAAAAGGAACAAAAGCATCCCCAAAATAATAAAAATTTGCCGTCTAAAAAAAAAAAAAAAAAAAAAAAAAAAAAAAAAAAAAGTAAAAATTCAAATCAAACCATATATTGAAAATATAATCAGGTACTTAAAGCATTTTATATTGTTGCACAAACATTGACATCAATCCCAAAGCAGATGTTACCACTAATTAAGGACACAATGTTTTCCACTAATAATCAAATTTTCATCAGAGAAAAATTAAAATCTTCCATTTTAGCTATGGATTATTAGAACATTTTGTATGACAAGTGACAATCAACTTATAGATTATTCACTTTTTTTTTTTTTTTTTAAACTCACTAAAAAAATGGATAAAAATACACAAGAGCAAACAAATGCACACCAAGTGGAAAGTTCCAAAATTTGATTCCCAAAAGGAACAGTCCAACTCTAGTAGAAGTCAAATTTGGATTTTTTTTTTTTCAACACTTATTCAGGTAGTTAGCCAAGGGATAGTAATTTTATTATTTTTTTTTATTTATTTTTAAATGGGATCCAATAAGAGATTTATGAAAAACACACACACTATATATATATTTTTAAAGACAGACATTTTGTGTCAATTAATTTTACTGATAGCTTTTTCCAAATTACAAATAATCCGTCAGAAAGTTAATTTCTGAAGAAATGTGGTCCAAGATTTTGACTTTCTGAAGTCATCATCAACTTAAGTAGGGACATATGGCGCATTTTGTAGAACTATGAACTTCAGACAATTTCTGATAGAATTTCTCCTTGTCTGTGGATTTGAAAAAGTTGATCAGTAAAATTAATCAACACAAAATGTCTTATCTTTAATAATATTTGCCTTAAAGAACATTTGCTACCTAGATACATGATACACTTAATTCCATGATGAATATCAGTCCTGTAGATCAATATTATACAGTGAAAATTTCACATCAAAATTTAGCTATAAACTTATCTTACACCATTGTAAGCCTACCAACTGTCTTTGCATTGAATATTGTTGCTGCATATGGTCTGGTGCATCTTTATATCTCAAGATTCTAGAGAAAAAAATCAGAATTATTTTCACTATTATCAGTCCTGATCTGGCCTCTCAGCTTGTCACTTTCCCAGCACTGTAACATTAGCTCCCCTGTGTCTATTTTACAAATTTTCATGGCAATCGTTCTGAGGAGCTTTCCTCTGTAGTACTTAAACTTCATGAATTTTTACAAGCTTGGCAGCTAGGTCTAATTATTTTACTCT